TCCCATCTGTCTCTATTTATTCATTATGTCAGTGTACTTCATCTTCATTGCAAGCTCACATAGAGCAATTAATATAGCCTAGAAACTCTCTAACATGTTATTTTTTAGTATTTTATTTGTTTGGAGATGGTGAAACCTTAAAAATTATCTAGTCAATTACACCAGTGAAAATAACAATGGCAAGGGAAGGGAAGGGAAGGATTGAATAATGGTGAGTGTAGGATTATTTGATAAGATAAAAGGAGAATTGGTAGGGCTTTCTCAACTTTGATCGATTGCAAGTCCCACGTGTGGTATAAAGATTTATAACGTGCAACATTTATCATTTTTGTCAACTTTGAGACGTTCTATATTTAAAAGTTTTATAATCATGTTCGTTATAAAGAAGATGGTAGCTTCTTATTAATTGCTTTTAATTCTCTACTCTTGGTGTAAACTTTGGAGGCCAGGTTGTATCGTCCTTTCAATTTATAACAAGATTGTACGGGTATTCCTAAGCCTCTTCCTCCTCAATCGGCTCTAGGTAGAAGTCTAAAAATCCTGTCTAAATTGATGGTGTGTTGCATTATAAAACAATATACCATAGGAAAATAAAAATTATTAACTTTTATCATGTACAATATAATGAACACACTCGCGCACCCGCACACACACATAGCTCTTTTACATCTAAACCAGCGGTTGGTGATCAGTAAATTGAAATTCATTGAAATTTCATCGAGGTTCCACAAGGGCTTCCCGCCTGCTCTAATTCACTACCCCTAGGGGTCTGTTGCACTACTCTATGGCCGGTCTCTATCGACAATGATAGGGGTTGCGTCCTGAGCGGGGAAGGATTCCTGATCCAATAGAAAGGGAATGCTTCTATTTATGTTATGTGATGTATCTAATGCCTTTATTTGTACTTTTTGCTTTCAATTTAGTGGCTTCCCCCTCACCGTACTCTTTTATTTTCATTTAAGCTTCCCCGATTTGGGGCGACTTTCCAGCTACTCGATCACTAAAAGCTAATAATAGGGATCGAAGCAAAGTCCGTTACTCTTCGTGTATATAAATGCCACTGGTGATAAGTTGACATGCATATA